ATTGCATTAAATCTATATAGCAGTTTTGGAAGTATGGCCATTTTCACTATATTAATCCTTCCTACCCAGGAGCAGGGGATGTCTGTCCATTTTCCTGATCAGAAAATCTTTACTTACACTTATGTCAAGAGTTTTATCTATTTTATCTTCCAGCAGATTGTTCTGTTAATATTTAGATCCTTGATTCATTTTGATTTTAGTTTAGTGCATGGTGAGCAAGTTCAATCTTTGACATGTGGATGGCCATTTTTTCCAGTAACATTTGTAAAGCAGGCCATCTCTTCTCCAGCAAAAGTATTTGGCCCCTTTCTAAGATAAGTTAGCTGAGTGTCCCTGAAGTTGTTTCTGCATCCTCTATTCTGTTACACTGATCCATAAGTCTGTTTTATGCCAATAACATGCTGGGGTTTTTTAATCACTGAAGCTGTAGTATAATTGGAATTCTGGGATTGTTATGCTGTGGGCCTTGGCCTTGTTTCCCAGAATTACTTTTGCTATTCTAGGTCTCTTCTAGTTCCATATGAGTTTTAGGATTTTATTTTCTACTTCTGTGATGAATGCTATTGGCATTTTTATAAGGATTGCATTAAACATGTATAACAGTTTTGGAAGTATGGCTATTTTGATTATATTGGTTCTGCATATCCAGGAACAGACTATCTTTCCATTTTGTGATGTTCTTTTTGATGTCCTTTTTCAGAATACTGTAGTTTTCATTGTAGAAGTCTTTCACTTCCTTGTTTAGCATAATTGCTAAGAATTTCATTGTTCTTGATGCTACTGAAAAAAGTATTGTTTCCCCCAATTTCTTTCATTTAGTTTATTATTGGTGTAGAGGAATGCTACTGACTTTTGAGTGTTGACTTTGCATCCGACTGTTGTGGATTTTGTTGGGCATAACCAAAAGACTTACAGGAGACAGAGGAGCAGGGGTAAAACAACAAAATTTATTTGCTAGCAGGCCACACCCACAGGAACATGCCTTTAAGGACTGACCTGGAATTACATTGGTGGCTTACATTTGTACCCTAAACTGGGGGATTCTGGTCATGTGGTTTACAGAAAGCTTAGAGTCTATGTGTACTTTTGTTCATGAGGCATGGTGACTGTTATCTTTATTCGGACATCTGGCCTCACTTGGGTTGGGGTTGTGGTTAGGCAATGTTGTAGGCATTTGTTTATCTCTTGCATACAAACTTGTGGTT